GACATTAAAATAGGGCTTTATTCGCAAAATGTTCAATTTGAACTTGCATGTTCCTTGAATACTCTTGTTTGAAAAGTTGAAACCAGGAAAACAACTATGAAAATTAAAATGAAGTCACTCTATGTATCTGGATTATGTTCAGCCAAATGTTGATATCATTTTGGATAAAAATGTAAGTATGAGTTTGTTTTTCAGACGATAGTCTTGATAAAAAGCTTTGAAATGTTACTAACCAAAAGCAGTTTTTAATTTTAATCAAGGGTCAACAAACTTCTTCTGCAGAGAACCAGTTAGTAAATATTTTTTAGTTTTGTGGGACACATATGGTCTCTGTTACACATTCTTCAGTTTTGTTTTATTTTTTAAACACCCTTTGAAAATATAAGAACCATTCTTGGCTTGCAGACTGTACAAAAACAGGCTGCAGGTCACAACTGGCCCATGGGCTATGGTGTGCTAACCCTAATTTCTAAGGAAAGCGAACCCAAGAAAACATGCCATGATGCAGAACAAAATGTCTAAAAGCATTCTGGTAAGACTAAGCTGAAATAATTACCAACACCTGCCTATTAAAATGGTTTCATTAGTTATTTTGCACATGGAAGGAATTTTAATGGCAGAATGTACTTTGATCTCTTAACCTGAAACTACAGACACACAAAAAAAGGGCAAAGGACAGCTATGTGCTGAATTCTCCCAATATAAACCCACATAATGCTCTAAGCCATTGTATGAATTCTATTTCCCCACACAGACAAGGCTAATCAAAGTGGGAGCATTTCAACTTTCCTCACCGAGACATATGTGCAAAATCTAATTTCTCCCTAGAAAATGTGGTGACTTGAATTTATGGAGATGATCAGAATGACTGGAATTAGCAGCATCTCACTGTGAAAAGTGACACAGACTTGGACTGGGGGTTTTTACCAGAGGCTCTGCCACAACCACCTGCGTGATTGTGAGGCATCAACTAAACCTTCATTTTCTCACTTGTAAAGTTGGAACGGGGCACAAAATAGATAATTCCTAAGACTTTTTACTGTCAAACTAGGACTACACTAAATAATGAAACCACTCAGGAAATACCTAACAGGAAGAAGGGGGCAGGGCAGGGGAGAGACGACAAAGGAAAGACATTTAGGTTGCCCCGCTGGAGGACGGAGCTGACTTATCTCTTTTTGTTCTACCAACATCTTGTTCCATTTTAACATTTCTGTATTGTATCCCTTCTCATCAATATTAAAATAAGTCCACATCAGATAGGAGATAAATGTATAGCTAATTGCATTATCATTCCAGTTATCTTAATAATACATTCTATAGGCATTTAAATGTTAATTATGATTATTTAAGGGGGCTTTTACAGCCCATCAACAATTTTTCAATATCTTTAACTTTGGGTAGTTGGCCCTAAGCACAGGGTCTCTAAGTTCAAATGTCCTTATTCCATGATTAACAAATACTATCTAGATGAGCACGGTGGCACATGCCTGTAATGCCATCACCCAGGAGGCTGAGGCAAGAGGACTGCCATGACTTAGAGGACAGCTTGAACTAGTGAGTTCAAGGCCAGCCTGAGCTACATAGCGACACCTTGTCATCAAAAAAAAAAAAAAAAAAAAAAAAATCTACCTGCTACCACCACAAAGAGCAGAAAGGAAATGAGAGGGATCAGAATGGCAAGGCCCTACAGAAGTGAAAAGAAAGTATCTGTGCAACAAATGTATCCAGAATAAAAAAATGAGTAACTGTCTCTTCCTTTCATGATGACAGAACTCCTAATCAAACAGTGTCTGAAGATGGCAGGCTCCCACGTTTTTTTTGTGTGTGTGTGGTTTTTTGGTCCTGGGGATTGAACTTGGGTCCTTGTGCTTGCAAGACAGGACACCAAACCACTGAGCTAAATCCCCAACCCTGGTTCCCATGTTTAAAACAACCTAAATTTTTTAAAAGGCAAATCAAGTCTTAAAAGGTATCTTTATGGGAAAAAACAAGATGGGCATACATACATAACTACCAAAATACACATACACACAAATCAAAGGCATTAAGAAACATATCTTTCCTTCGATGTAGAGCTTATCAAGTTTTGTCAGCAATGCTAGGGCAGACCTTGTGGAAATCCAGTCACAGAAAAGCCCAGGAATTTACACACATAGGTACTTCAAGATACAATTATAACTGCAGAAGAGATAGGCCACAAGGGTCACCTCAATAGCTTCAGATCACCTGGGGATGGGAGTAGGGCTTGGGGGAGGCAACCCTGTTGCTAGAGATGTGAACACTACCAGTCTATGTTTGTAGTCAGTGAAGAGTCTGGAAATTTTCACCAGAATAGCATCAACATTCAGCTAATTTCCCCAGCTTAATTTCAAATGCAAAGCATTAGGTTTCAGATATATAAATTCTTCTGCTATTTGAAAGCAGTGCGCTACCACTTCCTGTTGGAACTTGAGGTCTAAATAAGAGGCATGGCATTTCCCCTCCTCCATATCAACTGAAGACACAGTTCACAGCTTCTTTTTAACCACATCCACCACACAAAAAAATATATGAAAACCAAGATGTCTCACGAGATTCACTCCATTTAATGCCTACGTCCTAAACTGGGGCAAGATACTGGTTTTCGTATCTTAATAGTTGTAAACCTTCAAACTCATTTCATCATTTAAAAAATAAAATCCACTTAGAGTTTGGGATATAGCTAATAGGTAAGCACTTGCTAGCATGCTTCAGGCCCTGGGTTCAATCTCCAGTAAGAGGGCAGGAGGTTGGAATTCACTCAAGAATAATTCGGACCCTTCAGAATAAAAATTATTTTTAAGTTATTTGTTTATTGGGTCTGGTATTGAATCCAGTGTCTCACACAATGCTAAGCATGTGCTATACCACAGAGCTACACCTCCTGCCAGAAAAATAATTTTAAAAGCTACTATTTCACAAGATAGCAGATACCATTACAGAATATATGGGACAAAAATTAAAGGAAAAAAGAGAATTAATAAAAGTATTACAAACAAGCCAAAATTCATCTGAGGAACTTAACAGGAACAGCATCAGTGCAATTTACTCACTTTCAAGGCAAGGGGACACTTGGGGAGGGGGTCACACAAAGAATGGATACAGTCCACCCACTTGTTAGAAATTATCCTTTACCATCTGCACTGCAGTACACATTAAACAATGAAAAAGAGGTAGCTGGGGTTTTTTAATTAGTACCAGTGTCAAAAATTAACCCCCTTTAGTTGCTGTACCAGCTCCCACTAAAGCTTTTAGAAATACACTTGAGAGATGACATTTAAAATCTGCTTCCTCAGAAAAGTCCCACTCAAGACTGACTGCCAAGAACTTGGAACTCAAACTTTCCTAAGCCAGACATCAAACTGGGATTTTAGGCAATTCAATCTGTATGAAAGAGATTAGAATAATCAAATAAAAGCCTTTCCCAATATTTTAATTGAAAAGTGCTTTATATCTAAATATTCTGTTTTTTAAAAGATAATATCCTTAAAACACACAAATGGTTAAACACGCTTATTATTACTAAAGAACTAGCCCTCTATTATTTCTCAACCCAGAAATTCATGGTGAAATACAAAAGAATCATTTTAAAGATGACTAAATAAGCTACCATGAAAAGCCAGAAACATCACTCAAAACAACCCAAAGCTAAGATACTTAAGGTCTTTTAATTAACCCCAACAATTAAAAAACTTAAAGTCACTTCTACAGGCAATTTAAAGGCAGTTCTAATTTGCTTTTCCTTTCACAGTAAATTAAAGATCGTGTTACCTGGCACATGTCTTTCACTACAAATGTAGGAAGGACAGCTTCCAGGCAAGATCAGAAAACTCTTGAATCAACTGGAAGTAATGGAGGAGAGATATCACATGTTATGTGTACTTAAGCAATCATTAGAATCAAAGCAAAATACACTGGGAGGCAGGCAGAATTCAAGATCAATTCCTTGGCTTTGAAGTTATTAAACATTCAAGCTCAAGAATCTTGTTTTTCAGGAGATGGTTATAGAGGGTGAACCATATTTTCCTGACAACATCACTCCCAAAAGTCACCAAACCCCTTAACACCCGTTAACACTCATGGAACAACTTAACACTCCACAGACATTATTCCATCATTAGTCACTTTTTGCTTTCTCCTGAACTTGATCCAAGAGAAGTAAAGAGGTCCCAGTTACTGGGGAAAGTCCTGCACCCCACTGCTTTCCACTTCCTCTCCCTTTCCCATCTTCGGACTTCTCTACTTAACCTCTTTAAATACAAATATAGCTTCCCCTTTTCCTTTCCACCTCACACCCGGCTCTCCTTTACTTTCTCCACCAAGTATCCTCATGCCACCCCCTGAGCCCCTGAACCCTTTTCCACCTGCAATTTTATTCTGCCCTCTCTCGTGTCGGCTCTGTCCAGACCTCTTATGGCCAGTGCCCCTCACTCCTCACCTCCGGTCATTCATCCCCTCAGCTCCCATCCGACTGCCTGGTCTCCTCTCTTGTCCCTCGTGTCCTCTGTCCCCTTACTTCACCGTCCCTCTCCTTCTCCAACCCTTCATTTCCCCCCTCACATTTCCTTCCTCTTTGCTATCTTTTGATCATTTTCACATCCACTACCCCCATCTCTCTCCCCAAGAGATTTCCGGTGTCCCCCCACTTTGTCCCTCTGGGACCCCTCCTTGTCAGCCCCGGAGCCGCGCTCTCTCCAGTACCCCCCGTCCGGGTTCCACTGCTTCCTCTTCTTTGCCCCCAAGTTCCCCCTGCACCCGCAGCCTCGTGTCCCC